ATGTCAATAATTCTATCATTTTGAAGCCAACTGGACGATTATATCTGGAACATACAAGCTGAGTTCGATCATAGTGCTCTGAGAAATCTAGATAAACAAAGAATAATAAATTAAAGTATTCCAGGGAAAAGAGAGGAAAACCTGTATCGTCTCTAAAATCTGTCAGGGTATTGTTAAAAGTCTCATCTTTTTGCTCGAAGAAGGCTCGAAGTTTTCAGGTCGATCAAAAGATGACATTTACAAAAATACCTTTGCCGTAACTTTCACAAATATCAGAGAGAGAAAGTACAGGTATTGCCTCTCCTTTCCCCAATGCTCTTTATATCTGTTCTTTCATTTTACCCATATTTCTAAATATATAATGCCAAACATGACTACAGTATATAATAATTTCAATATCCTAAGTGGAAAGAAAAAGATCACCTTTCTGTTTTGTACCATGGTCCCTTTCTTCCGATGGCTCATCTCGTTGATATTTAGGAAGGTATCCATAAAATATATATTTTATTATCGGTCCTGGGATGAAAAAATATAAAAATTCAATTTCATTTGATGATCCTTTTCTGTCACCTAAATCAGGAGAATGACAATGAGCATGTTAAGATGAAAAAACTTCTATTTATCAACACTTACCTACCTACACGTTAGTCCGTGGAGTTTTATCAAAAACCCATTTGCCTTAAATAATCATGTATCTAATTTACAGCAAACTGCAACCTGTAAACAAAGAAATAAAATGGAGACAAGTCAACGTCAACGACCCGACAAGGAGAAAGTGGTGTTCGAATAACAATTTATGGGTTGTAAAAATTGTTTTTGTCTCCTTTCAACGCACACCTTTTAGAAAGAAAAAGAGCTGAACAGTTATACTGAAAGAAATCGCTCGGTTGTTTCTGTCACCTGTCACAATAAATTTATCGGTAAGGAAGATTCCTAGAAAATCGCTTGTAGTCAAGTTTTCAACCATTTCCAGTTCTCCCATAAGAAGTGTCATCCACCTGTATACAACTGTACTCGTACACTTCTGTTACGGGTGCGGGGTGACTCATACTCATTCTACTCCGTTGACGTCCGCCCTTGATCTCGTGAATCTCGTCGTACAATTGTACGACATGCACTGTACGATACAATTAAGTGTACTGTACGAAGTGTGCTAGTACAACCAATTGAAATTGGTGTTGCTCCATCATCATTTGGATTGAGCATAATTTTATCCAGATATCAATATCGAATGAAAAACAAAACAAACAGATGTCAATTAAAGAGGGGCAGTGACAGCGAGACCTGGAAGATGTCTGCCATCTTGCCGTCGACAAAAATTTGGATGCGCACTCGTCGAAGCTCATTCTCCCACTTCCATATCTCTGCTATGAAATGAACATCGCTGTCATGTTATAGGTAAATTTATATGGGAATTGTCATCGATTGTCATTTCCCAGCCAAGTGGACGCCGTTTTTTTTTCGATCATACGGTAGTCCAGAAACCTAACTGGAGCTGAAATCCGTGACGTTTCACGAATTGGGCCACCATCAGAGATATGGAAGTGGGAGAATGAGCTTCGACGAGTGCGCATCCAAATTTTTGTCGACGGCAAGATGGCAGACATCTTCCAGGTCTCGCTGTCACTTCCCCCCTTTAATTGACATTATCCGTTTGTTTTGTCTTTTGTTTTCTTGCCTAGTTGTTATCTAGTTAAAATTTATTATTATCTCAATTATTCCAAACACTAATTCAAAAAGGCTTGTTGTATATTCATAGTCATTCTAAGAAAGCTAATACGCCGGGAATAATGATTAGTTTTCATGTAAGTTTTATACAACATAACTGTGTTTACAGATGATTCAAACTGTTTCATCTTTAGTTTTCTCCAAAATAAGGATTTGAAAAATCGTGGATTGTAATTGGAATGGTCGTACCAAGTGTATGATGCGGGCTACTTAAAGAGGATGTGTTTTTATTACTAATGCAGGAGGAAGAAGATACTTGAAATCAATGTTCGTGCTTCTGTAAAACAGTGAACTCTTATAGTGTCCATGAAAGCACAAGTTCAAGTGGACCAGGAAATATATCAAATAAGATTGGTCCTAACTTGACAAGAAGATTATTTGGAGGAAAAGAAAACATAAGATAGGGTGTTTTAACTCTAACAGCGAAAAAAAATTTTAACACTCATTGTAAAGTTTGTTGTAGGTAGTTTTGTGCTAAATATTTCTAACATTAGCAGCAGCCGTGTTCAGAGTGACAAGAGGAGGAGAATTCAGTTAATTAGATTTATGCACAGTTACAGGTATGAAGGCTTTTTCAAACATAGTATCGAGTTCTATAGTCCACATTTTTAGTATTCCTACAACTGTAAAAACAAGGAACATTGGACTTAAAAAATGGCAAGATTTATATATAGGAAGAAAGGGTATTATGCCAATAAGAAAATTAAATCTGTAGGCAGAAGTTTCATATTTAAAACTGTTATAGCATATATTAATTTGTATCTGTGTCACAAATCACTGAGAAAATCATATAATATCTTATAATTGTTAACGAAATGATACTTAAAGAGTGTTAAAATGAGATTATTAGTCACGAAGCTTACAATGTTACTTTGTTTCAATATTACACTTTGTATTCTTGTAAAATCTATGATGAAGTTAAAAAGCATTTTGCAATGGCCCTAAATTGTGAGCCAGGATTTATAGCAAAGTAGTATTTGATGCAAATGAAACTTAACTAGGGATTGTCAATCCCATGTTTCAAATAGATAAAATACAGTAAATAATAATTTATATTAAAAATCTAAATTTCTTATCCATTTTATCTTTAAAAAATTTCTTTAAAATCTCCGAGAGATCATATAATCTAATTCTCTTAATAATAAATTAGGTATATGTATGTTGTACATACAGAATTATGGTATGGACAAATAAGGATCGACAAGCTTTGTGCAAAAATAAATTCATTTTGTAGTATTAAGACAAACGATAATGTGTTTTACAAACCCACCGTAAATAGTTTTTTATAATAAAATATTTAGGAATAATTTGGGTTGTTTATCAATATATTAATGGCTTGAATTTTGACAAATTGAATTTTGTATCAAAATAATTTTATCAAATATAAAATTGATGTTCTATTACAAGACTGAGTTTTTTTGTCAACAAAAACCAGGATAAATACCACACAATACCCATAATAAAATCAATGATGTTTATGGATTAAGGAAAAATATTTGTTAGAAGACATGTTATGTAACAGTTTTTGTAACACAATTTGATGAGATCAATAAAAAAAATAAAACAAAAACATATTTTTCTCTAGGCTAATATAAAAAATACAAGGTGTAAGTAATCATCAAAATTAATTATGCACCAAATGTTTTTATGAATATACAACTTGAACAAAAAGTTGTTTAGAACAATTTTACTCAAATTTGGTAAAATTTTAAATTGAAACGCATAATTCTGTACAAGTAAATATGAAATAATTTAAATACTTTCATTTAATGGCATTTCGAGTGTTTAACGACGAAAAGGTCATCTGTCCGTAGCGTCTTTGTCAGAATATTCAGACATTTAGTGCACATTTAGTGCATTATATACCAATATTGCCGCAGTTTTGACACTGATATAATTAAATAAATCATACTAATGTTAACTAACTACAATAAATGATAGAATTTCACTAAATTTAAATTGTATGCTTGAAAACAGCAAATTGATTACTGATTATGAATTTGATTACTTATAGATTACCACCTATATACAAAATGACACGGAGACCTGGAATATGGCGCCCAACTTGATTAGACCTTCCGCGCATGTTGAAGCTCATTCTCTATCCCTTCTATTTCTCTGGCCACCATTTAATAGCGGTAGAACACAGAGACGTATTTAATAAATTTCCGTTGAATGTATACAGAGTCGTATTTATTTTTTTGTTAAAATTGAAAAGTATAGAATTAATATCTGTATACGAAAAATGCTTTTAAAATAATGATAGTACAGAGTACAAAATTCAAAATAATTCTTAAAACATAAATAAATTTGGAAAACTTAAAAATGAAAATAAGTACAAATCAAATCTTCCTTTCTGCTGTGGCAGCCCCAATTAACTGTTCACAGTTCATTGAAGTCGGATATGTTCTTAGCCTGGATCTGATTGTAGGTTTTAACAGTTCCATGATGATTGCTGCCTTAAGGTTGTCAGGTCGGGTTGGCTCTAGTCTGGAAAATAAAGCGATCTTCCTGGATATAAAGATGCCTACTGGTTCATGTTGTGCTTGACCTTCGCCATACAACTGAGAGGTAAGTTGTGCAGTTAACAATATATTATTAAATCTCTCATAAAAGCGATCTACAAAGTTTTTCCATGTTAAATTAAGGCAGATGTAAGGCTCGTACCACTTTTTTGCTTCACCATTTAGCCTAGACACAGTAAAGATACTTTTCTCTTCATCGAAGGCAGGGTTTCTTCTTAAAATACCTTCTAAAGCATCGACAAAGTATATGGGGTTCTCGTGGCCAAGACCAGTAAAACAGGGTAAATTCTTATTCCTAGGGAGTGTTACATGTTGATTGCTGGAACAGTTTTAATGCTTCAGTGAAAGAATTGGTTACGTTTAGTAAGATTTGTTCTGTTGTTGAGTCTTATTATATTTTCTAATTGGTCAAATCCATCGTCTGATTGACTCAACTGGTCACTGCTGTCCGTTGATTCTTTGAAAGGGTTTTGGGAGTGGGAACTCTGCTTTTCGAAAACAGAAAAGTCCAGAAAATCACCGCCATTCTTGTTCTTGGGAAGCTTGGGCGTCTCGTCAACAACCTTGAACGATTCCATTTTGTTAGCAGCAATTCTCCAGCTTCTTTCTTTTCGCCTAACCACGCTGTTAGGCGCCATGTATACGAAAAATGCTTTTCGTGGGTTTTAATTTTATTGAGAGACACAACAGTTTCAATAAAAACTATTTATTTCATCTAATTTATTACCTCGACTGGCCCGAAATCCTATGCGTCGTCGTCCTCGAAGCGAGTCGTTAGGCTCCTCCTACTTCCTTTCCGTTTTTCCCGTCAGGGGCATATTTAATGCTATATCGATATACGGTAACATATCATTCGGCAGTTAATAAAACTACTGCTTAAAACTTTAATAAGTGAGTTTGTTAAAGTTAAAAGTAAAGGCTAATTTGTTTAAGATGCTGTAATATTGGTTTAGTACAAATGTCCCAACATATTTTATGGAGTAATATTTTTAATGTAAAACTTATTGCCAGCGATAAAAAACACTGCATTAGTAAACCATTAGAGATATCGCGGTATAGGTATAGGTATATTTTCAAGGTAAGATATTAAATTGCCTTAAAAAACCTTGCTTAAAGCAAAAATTTAATATTTTTCAGGTCCAAGTACTCCGAAAGAAGTGCAAGTTGAGCCTCAAACTCCATTAAGCCTATTTTGTCTGTCCGATTATTTTTAAGGTAAGATATTAAATTGCCTTAAAAAAACTTGCTTAAAGTAAAAATTTAATATTTTTCAGGTCCAAGTACTTCAGAACAAGTGCAAGTTGAGCCTCAAACTCCATTAAGCCTATTTTGCTCGCCCAATTATTTTCAAGGTAAGATATTAAATTGACTTAAAGAACCTTGCTTAAAGCAAAATTTTTTTTTTAGGATCAAGTACTTCAGAAGAAGTGGAAGTGCCTTTGATTTCCCCAACCGCAACCACTCAGACTCCATCAAGCCTATCTTCACATACTCCGAGGAAACTGAAACTAAGGGCGCAGGTTAGAAATCTACGAAAAAGAAAGCAAATACCAAAAATACAGGAGGGGGAAGACTTTTCCGTAGAAGTTTTTAATGTCATGTGTGACAAATTTTTAAATGCTCCTTTGACTGAGCTAATTAAAACTCATATAAAGATGAAATCAAAAAAACCATTAGGACGACGATACTCGTCAGAACTAAAACAATTTGCTTTGGCACTGTATTTTTTGAGCCCCAGAGCTTATCGCTTTCTGGCAAAAATGTTAACATTGCCAGATAAGCGAACTCTTGAGAGGTTGACAGCAAAACTTTCATGTCAACACCTGGATCAGGCTATTTATGACGCCCTAGAATTCAAAACTAAGTCTATGCTAGAGGAGGACAAACACTGTATTCTGTGTATTGACGAAATGTCCATTACGACAAATTTGTTTTTTGATATAAAGAGCGACAAAATTATAGGTTTTGAAGATTTAGGTAATGGGGAACGACAACCAAAGCCCTGCAAAGATTTTCTTGTGATTATGACAAGAGGTTTATTCTCATCATGGAAGCAACCAATAGTATACTTTTTTGCAGGTGCTCAGTTGCAAGCCATTAAGCTTCTTTCCATTTTGGAAAAATGCATACTAAAATTAAAAGAAATTCCATTGAATGTAGAAGGAATTGCTAGCGATATGGGGTCAAATTTTGTCCAACTCTCAAATATTTTAGGGGTTACCTGCGACAACCCAGAATTTGAATTGGGAGGCAAAAAGTTATTTTATTTTTTCGATCCATGCCATTTAATAAAGGCCACAAGAAATAATTTATTTTTAGCTTTGAAAATAAAAAGACATCATGGGCATATATTGAAACATTTTACAATTCAGATAAATCTCAGTTTTATAGGTGTGCACCTAAACTAAGTTATGCTCATTTATATCCCACATCATTTGAAAGAATGAAAGTAAGCTATGCGGCGCAAGTTTTAAGCCATTCAGTGGCATGTGGTATGAACACATATATGAGTTTGGGTACACTACCTCATGAGGCATTTGGCACAATTGAAGTAATTGAAAAATTTAATCGTCTTTTTGACGTTCTGAATTCAATTTCACCGCAAAACCCATTTAAATTTCAAAATGCTTATGACGGTTCGGAATTTCAGAATCAATTTTTGACAGAAATGATAGAATTTTTCAAAAATTTAAAAATAATAAACGTAAATGGGAAGGACCTAACAAACAAATTAAGGTTTATTAAAAGTTGGACATTTACTATCAAAAGTCTTTTAAAATTATGGGCACAGATTATGGGACAACCTAAAGGGAGTAGGGTATAAATACCTCATGACTAGAAGGCTGAATACAGACTGCCTGGAAAACTATTTTGGGAGTGTAAGGCAGCAAAGCGGTAATTGCGTAAATCCGACCCCCATCCAGTTTCAAAGAGCATTTAAGAAGCAATTTATCCAAAATTATTTTCATTCAAAAAACATGAACTGCAAACCAGACCTCGACCACTTACTAGTGAATCTTAAATCCGATTTCAAGGAATTGGAGACGGCAGAAGCAGAAACAAACTTGGAAGTTTTGGCTGTATCTGTAACGGATCATAGTTACAGAACTGAAAATATACCGAAACAAAATGCCTTTTATTATGTTTGTGGGTATTTAATGTAAAGATGTCTACAGGTTCACTCATGCGAAATATGCGAAACATTTAGCAGAGAGTGTCAATCACTAGATGTACACACATTATTAACACATTTTAAGGCATGCGATCCTCTAAAGGACATTTTTGGTGGATTGTCTTCACCGCCAGAAAGATTCGTAAATTTTGTTTATAACTTAGATTTGATTTTTGATAGCGAATTTGAAAAAAAAAATGACAGGTGATCAAATTTCAAATTCGCTTTTAAATATATATTCAAAAATATTGAATTTGATCACCCCTGTAAAGACTTTCCAAAATCATTTCTTTTAAAATTATTTATTAGGTGTAAAATATTTTATACTTTAAAATTTAGAAATAGAGATTTTAAATATAATAAGACCAAAAAAAATGTACGTAAATTAAGAAACTTAATGCATGTATAATTAAAAAAGTTATAAATAGAAACATTTGTTTTTTTTTTCTTTCCAGCATCCTTATAAATTAGTATTCACACACAGGGTGGCCCATTAGTGCGAGCAAGTCCAATATCGCAGTCATTTTCGAAGAAGATATGAAAACATATTTTATATAGATGTTGTATGGTTTATAAAGGGGCATATCCTAAAAATATTTTGTTGTATACCAGGTTATCACAAAAAAAAGTTAGGATAAAGTTTTAAGTTTTTTTTTTAATTGCAGCCCCCCAGTGGCGGACTAGGGGGCGGTCCGCCCCGGGCCTCGTCTTTTAGGGGGCCTCCGAATCTTAATAAGTAATTTTTTATTCAACTGGCAAACAAGGCCAATATGTTCAGTACTTATAAGCAGTTTGTAGGTGGAGTATGCAAACCATACGTATACGCTAACTATAAACAATATAATTGTCAGTGGCATTTTTTATTTAGAAAATTAAATCAAGGGGTAAATTTCCTTGTTTAAAATATCGAATAATTATTATTTTTTATATATTTTGAGACTGAATTTATTTATTTTAGATTTTAAGTTATTTTTCAATGGTTTCATTATTTATTTTTACTCAATAAACATTTTAAATTACAACCAATGCACACATAACTTGTATTCTAGCTTCATTACTGATGATGAGCAGTGAAGTCTTTAGTATAACGGGAGCCACGGGCCTGGAACTTGGAGGACTTACAAAATTGCGATATTTTGTCACGGTATTTCCCTGGAAGCATTTTTAAGAAAAAAATATTTAAAATTTTTGGACGAAAAAAACTACCTGTCAAACAAATTTGTACAGCCTAAAAGTCAAATTTAGTGATTATCACAGCCCCTGTGACATAAAGAAAAGACATGTGGCTATCTATTTCAAGAATTAAATTGTTCAAATGTCATATAATAATGGCGATAGCTGTCATGGAATTGAGCGATTAAAAAATTATCATAAATAATTTTTTTTTCAAATGGAAACCAACTTTTTTTATTTTACTAGTGAAAAGGTTTACAATTCGTTACGTTTTAACCTTAGATTAAGAATGGTTTTAACTAGTCATATTTCTATACCTAAAATAAATAGTTTTTAAGTTATTTAAGATTTAGTTTGAAAACGTATATTTTTCTTGATTTTATCTAGCTTCCTTTGACATTAAGTGTCAAACAGTCAGACAATTTATTCCCGTGTGTCAGAAAATGAATTATTTGAATTTCCTGTATTATAACTACTACTGCTTAAAAGTTTAAAACGTGTATTTATATAAATATATCTCGTATTTTCGTTCTTTAGTGATATCTAATAGTTGATATTTTAATAATATATCGTACGATCGAAAAAAAAACAGCGTAAACTTCGCTTGGAAATGATGATCGATAATATACTGTCATAGGCTACTGGTTAAAATCAAGAAAAACACGCTTTAAAGCTTTTTAAATAACTTAAAAACGATTTATTTTAGGTACAGGAACATGTATAGTCAAAAAGTAACAAATTTTAAAAACAAAAGCCTTTTCACGAGTGAAATAAAAAAGTGGATTTCCATTTGAAAAAAATGATTTATGATAATTTTTTAATCGCCCAATTCCACGACAGCTGCGACCATTATTATATGACATTCGGTCAATTTAATTTTTGACATAGATAGCCACATGTCTTCTCTTTATGGTACAGTGGCTGTGGCAATCAAATTTGACGTTTAGGCTATATACATATTTTTGACAGGCAGTTTTTTTCCTCCAAAAATTATATATATTTTTTTTTCTCAAAAACGTTTAACGTTAGGTATAGAGTGTTTAATATCAAAATTCATAAAATTTTACAGAGAATTTAGGTATGTAATAAGAAATGGGGTCACCCATTTAAAATAAGAAAGTTGCTGTCAACTTCCGGTAATTCCGAAAGTGCCGCTATATTGAAAATATTTTTAATCGATATATCTCATTATGAAACAATGATATGCACAAAATCTCGTATCTAGATATTGTAGTTCTCTAGAAACTTCTAACGCAGGCTCAGCCTGGGACACTCTGTATAAATACTTGAATTTTGTCATCCATTATACATACGTCATTCAATTTTTACAAAATGTGCATTAGAAGTATATCATTATCAAACAGACCGGGGCGGGGGCCACATTTAGCTTCGCCGCCCCGGGCCCCCGAGAGGCTTAGTCCGCCACTGCAGCCCCCCCCCCCTTTTCTGTTGTATTGTAAATATTAGTACTTTGTAAGTTGTTAAAAACGAGTGAATTTAACTTTATTAATACTTAGCTATATTTTCCCACAAACTGTATATTATAAACCCGCAAAGGAAAATTTATATTATCGCAATAATTATTAAAAATGCTATATCTCAGTTTTTTAAATGCAACACACTGTATGATTTTTCTTTTAGATGCAGAATTAAAAAGTGAGCATTTTTTTGTTTTTAAAGTGTTACATTTTAACTCTTTTAACTGTTAAATTTTAAGCACATTTTTAAGTCTTTCGCAGATATTCGCGATATTATATTACATACCTATGGCTCTTTCAACAGTAAATTTTTTTCAAAGCTACCTAATATTATGATCTTTGTCGGGTATTTTACCGTTGAATATCTGCAAAACCGCTAAAAATTTAGGAACACTTTAAATACAAAAATTGTTTTATTATTTATAAGTCTGCATCTAAACGAAAAATAATATACAGGAGTTGCATTAAAAAAAATAGAGATATAGCATTTTTAATATTCCGATTTTTGTGACGCCATAAAAAATACCCTGTTTAGGAAAATGGAAATTTTTAGTAAGTATACAAGCAAAGTTATATTCACCCCCAGTTTTTAACCACTTTTCGGATATTCTTATACTGTTATTAACCAAAGTTTTTGTAAATAAGAAATAGAATGGCAATGGCAACAGCGCATAGTGCTTCAAATAAAAGTAGTGTACCATATGCAGAATTTTATGACAAATCCAATTATCTACAGAAAAATAGAAGTGCAATTTAAAAAACTTTATCATAACTTTTTTTGTGACACCCTGTAAAGAACAAAATATTTTTAGGATATGCACCATTATAAACCATGCGACACTACCATTCGTTTTTTCATATCTTCGACAACAACGTGATATTCGACTTCTTAATGTCGACCCTGTAAAATATGCTGTCAAATTGTTTAGCGTCAACTTTGAATATAAAGACTATAGTGGAGTAAAAACTATATCAAAATGTGTCAAAATTTTTTTTGGAGGTATAACTACATGATACCTATACAGGATTATCAGTTAGGGATTTGTGCATGTGAAATGACTAATTACGACCTGTTTGGGGGGGTCAGAAATTTTTTATCCCGGAAAATGACAAAAATCTGTCAAAAATGTATAACCATGTTTTTTTACCTTTCCTACGCGATAACTCCTAAACTAATCAACTTATTCACAAACTCTTTTTTTAATCGATTGAGAACACATAGGCGGTGATAGCTGAGGTAATTAAAGTTCCATAGTGAGTGTATTTTTTTTTTGGAAAATGGATTAAACTTCAAACATTAACTTTATTGTATCATGATTTTCGGTAAGCGAGAAACTTTTTTATTTGGAGGAATTTTTACATAGTATCTGCGTATGAAATAAAGTAAAAATATTGAAAAAGTTTTTAAATCTTGGTACAATCTTCTAATGCTAATACTTTTCTAGTTATCCTAAATTAAATTTACGAATAGGCCGCGCGCGAGACCGCTCGGGCCTCGCCGCCCGAGACTCTTTGATTTTATTTGGCGGCACTGCGGACGCGATGTTCCGTAGGCCTATTTCTGATTATCTGCAGTTTGAAATTTAGTAAATTCTGTACGTTATAAATTATTTAGTTATCGACTCTTTAATTTGCAGAAAAACTATAAACAAAAGTGATAAGTTTTTTTTAAATCCTACTGTACCTAAAAACTATCATAAATGCTGCGGAAAAAGACAATATGATGTATGCTTAATATATAATATATTAACAAAAAGAAAAATTGTTAAATAGAACGGTTTTGATATTATAATAATATTTTTGATATGTGATAAAATAGGAAAAAAAGGGCAAACATCACAAATTAACATCTAGACAAACAGATCTTATATTGTAAACTATTTTAATAAGATTTTTTAATTAATTTGCTGAAATTCCATAGTCAGTATTTCTTTTGCCAATAGGGCTGAATAATTTATCATATAAACCAGAATAATATTAATTATTCTTATTTACCGTAAATCTTTTAATGCGTGAGACACAAAAAAATGGAGATGAAAAAATGATTGAATTATTTAATAAAAAAATAGATATGTATTCATTAAAGTTTATAACCGTTTATGACCATCAAAAATCGAACATTTCTATTATTATTTATTAAAGTTTATTTTTATTACGGTGGACTCTGACGATCCGTGTACTTGTACAAACATTTTTTATTTACCCGCCATATTTTATATACTTGCCATGTGGTGTGAGTGGTTTCCTTGCGCAAATAATTGTCACTCGCCGCGTAGCGTGAGCAAGCTTGTTGCAAAATATGTTGTTTACACAGATAGTACACTTGCCAAGTACGCAAATATTGGCGTACTTGCCAATATATAATATATATATATATATATATATATATATATATATATATATATATATATATATATATATATATATATATATATATATATATATATATATATATATATATATATATATATATATATATATATATATATATATATATATACAATACAAAAAAAAACGAGTACAATTTACACGAGTCGTCAGAATTCAGAATCCTAAATGCCACAACTGTTTATCTCAAACAAATTAAAACTAAATTAACGACATTTTTAATTAAGAAAGCATACTATATACACTGGATGAATTTTTCACTGACTGAGATAATCATTTTTTATATCTCTTCCCGCTTTTATTGTTTG